GGCCCCTGAGAAGGGTGGCGGAGCCGCAGTAGAAGGGTGGCTGGGCCGCTGAGTAGGGCGGCGGGGCCGCTGAGAAGGGCGGCGGGGCCGCAGTAGAAGGGCGGCGGGGCCGCTGAGTAGGGCGGCGGGGCCGCAGCGAGAGAGGCGGCGGGGACGCAGTGAAGGGCGGCGGGGCCGCTGAGTAGGGCGGCGGGGCCGGAGCGAGCGAGGCGGCGGGGCCGCAGTGAAGGGCGGCGGGGCCGGTGAGTAGGGCGGCGGGGCCACAGCGAGAGAGGCGGCCGGGCCGTAGTGAAGGGCGGAGGGGCCGCTGAGACGGGTGGCGGGGCCGCTGAGACGGGCGGCGGGGCCGCTGAGACGGGCGGCGGGGCCGCTGAGACGGGCGGCGGGGCCGCAGCGAAGGGTGGCGGGGCCGCAACGTGAGGCAGCGGGGCCGCAGCGAAGGGCGGCGAGGCCGCGAAGAAGGGCGGCGGGGCCGCTGAGACGGGCGGCGGGGCCGCAGCGAACGGCGGCGGGGCCGCAGCGAGGGGCAGCGCGGCCGCAGCAAAGGGCGGCAGGGCCGCGAAGAAGGGCGGCGGGGCCGCAATGTGGGGCGGGGGGGCCGCAGCGAAGGGCGGCGGGGCCGCTGAGAAGGGCGGCGGGGCCGCTGAGAAGGGCGGCTCGAAGAGGTGAGAGCCCGTAGCGCGACTCGGGCTGAGCGCGCTTCGGGCAGGAAAAAAAAAGATCGATGTGGTGGGCCCTAGGCACAGTTCCCACGGGGGAACCTCCTCTGATACCATGAGGAAAGTAGAACGAGGATGATTGACTAAGGAATGGAGGTGATACAAATATGCAACCCTAGAAATGTGTACCCCATATAGGCTACCCCACTATAGCCTACACAATATTATAATTTGACACTTTCTAGTTGCCAAAAATGTTGCATGCCTTCGTTGATATATTGACTTTACCTTTTCAAACCCTCATTTGTGAAACCCTTGCCAATTTTGACTACGAGCATAAAAAACTCCAGCAATGGCAATGAATCGATTACCCCATACACATAATAGCCTTCCACGTTTCTACTCCCGTTGAGTGACTCTGTGCACGTTGGGGAAGTCTGGGGTGAACTAGGTGGATCAATAGACTAGGACAGACGTGCCATGTATGGATGTACAATACTTGGTGTTGCGACTGGAGACGTTTCGAGGTTTTTTTGGGTGTTTGGTTGTGGAGAGCCAGCATTTTGAGTTAGGGTTTTACTAGAGCCTAGTCCCATTTCCTGACATGTTTTGCATTACACCATGTTTTTAGATAGAATAGAAGCTGATATAATGGAAAATTGAGCTAGTTTTTGTACATGCCGCACTTTATTTGCTGACCTCTGGGGGAATCGAATTATAATGATCAAACACGTATGGCGACCGATAGATGTAAGATAAATAAATCGAGATAAACTCGGGCTTGTGCGTTACGGTGGATAATGAACAAGAAGCAACTAATCAAGCTGATATGAATGCAATTTTTTTTCCAATTGCTCTTTGGGCGTTCCCCATGCCAAGGTGAGATTTTAATAGCATTCAAGACGATCAATAATCAGGGTGTAGTAGATTCTAATTTATACTGAAGAAGACATTGGAAGGTTTATATTGGGTGTATCAGGTACTCAATCAACGCGGTCATCTCTTCCCACGTCTTTCAGATCTGTGTGTGCAAACAACAGGATTCTCCGTGTGCCTTATGATGCTTCACTTGAATATTCCCAATTTAGTCAGCTGGACATGGCACAGGGTGGCATGTCATGGCGCATCCGAGGTACATGCGCCGGCGGCACTGCCCGCCTTTCCTGCGTTCATGATGCATTCACTTGGCACAGTTCTCTCCAACCTGTTCGTCGGCTACGCCATCACGGAAGGAGTGGTAGTGTACCAGTCCCCTCTCCCGTCCTAAAATTGCAGTCACCTCGCGTGTGCGTCTCTTTCGTCCCCCAAGAACCACGAGTTAAACAGCATTTTACGTGTGCATTGTGTGTAAGGGTGTGTCCGAAGTGCCTCTCGACATCCATCCGTCATCCATCCGTCATCGAATGGATGACGTTGGCGGATGACGGGGGATGACGGATGGATGACGGTTGGATGTCAAGTCACTTCGGACACACTGCCGGCGACATAACTGCCCAAAAAAATGCCGGCCGGCACTGTTGGCGCCGGAAGGGGCAGACCAGAGAAAATGTTAAATGTTCAAATTTGAATCTAACGAATTTCGCTAACATGTTTCGTCACCCCTTGCAGTCACAAAGGACGGTCGTTTGCCAAGAGATACTTTCGCCATATTTCCCCCTCAAAATTTGTTATCAAACTTTGGTTTCGTTGACTGCCTCGTTGACCAGCCCGATGTCACTGTTGGCGGCACGCTTGACTGTAATGATTACACATGGCTGGATGACGGATGGATGTCGGTCGGATGTCAAATCAGTTCGGACACAACGCCGGCCCGTAAATTCTCACCCACCACCCTGACATCCGCCGACATCCGTCGACATCCATCGACATGTCACTTCGGACACGCCCTGAATGATGCAGGCATTCGCCCTGAATGATGCAGGCATTCACGGGGTCATCTCGCTTCCCACGTCTTTCAGATCTGTGTGTGCAAACAACAGGATTCTCCGTGTGCGTTATGATGCTTCACTTGAATATTCCCAATTTAGTCAGCTCGACATGGCACAGGGTGGAAACATCCGAGAGAATACCTATGGGATCAGTTGGAGGAGACTGTAACCCCCAAAAATTGTCTTGTTTTCTTTTTCAGAAACACTATGGCGAGACACATGGTGTAAATGGCTGTTTGTAAGACAGTGAAAAACCGTTGGCAGTCGAAAATATACCAGCGTTTCTGATCATTAAAAAATGTCTTCGCATGACAAGGTTTCTCACCTTGTGCACTATTAGATTGGTCCTAAGAGCAGAATCCTGTTTTGTTTCTTTCGAACTTTTTAATCGGGTACCCAAATGGGGTGACCGAAAGAGTGGGTACCCACGCAGAACTGGACAAGCCAAACAAATGAAGCTTCTTTTTTGTTGATTGTAGCTTTTGGCAATGGTTGCCTCAATACATGATGCACCGCGTGGAAACGACTATGTCAATAGCCTACAAATGAAGTTGGTATGGGGAAAACCTCAGGACAACTTGAAATCGCGTCATTGACCTCAGGAACGTCATTGAACTGCTCTCAAAGCAGACAGTAACAAACGTGCCTGAAACAGTAAACACGCTCCACTACACCGAGTCATCACTTTTCCCATCACTTTTGTTTTTTTTTCCATTATGTGAAAAAACACTTTCCACGCAAGTTTGAGGAGGACGGATTTTACTCATTATGAAGCGAGCGTACATTACGAAATTCTAGGACACTCTCGTAGATTGTTTGCGAGGGCCTTCGTATAGTGCAGGTACACCGTTTAAGGTATTTGTTAGCTTTGTATAAAGTACTGTATGGTGTACCTACGTAGAATACAGTTTTGTGAAAGCTGATGCTATTTTCTATCGCAAGTTTGAGATATATCGAAGAGCACAAAATCAAGCTCTAAGTGAAAGCTGAACCTTTCACCGATTATCAAAATCATATCTGCGTTTTGGTGATGCGGAAGTTCGTGGGAGACAACTAAGGGTCGTGTTTTGTTGCGTCCTTACACCTCCACTCATAAGGGGTTTATTTAGCGTCGTCAACTTATGATCATAATTTCGATCACGATCACACCACAGTAGCCAGTCGGGCAGATACTGCATTGCCCGTGCACACGGGCCGCCCTGGCACCCACCTTGTGCTGACGCGGTGGATCGGTTTCCCCCGAAATAGAAAAGATTTGGATTTTGACAGTGTGAAGTTTGGTGTCTCAGCACAGGGGACGCGCTTTTTCACCCCACTTCTAATTCCGACCAGTCCCAATCAGCCCACCAGGATTTTCCTGACGTTTTAGGTTTGCGGACAGAGGTGAAGTGGTGTCATTCGGGCGGATTGCAAAATGGACGAACCAGAACGAGCCGAGCATACGGCGCAGCGGTTCTCCAACCAGCACTTGAAATGCTCACTCCGTACACACACTCAATTGAGCAGCGGAATTTCTCAACCACGTGGATTTCCTTACGACCTTTCCCGCGCTCTCCGTCACCAGCTAGTAGTATGTTTGGAAATCGAGGCTCTCGTCCTTTGCCGCCGCTCATTAGCTGGCGCTGATACCCACTGGCCATTTCGTCCGGCGCATGTTTTATGGCGACTCGGAGTCACTGCGCAAGCCCATCATTGAAATGCGTTCTAATGCGAAAGTCCATCGACGCCGCGCAAGCAGAACAAGTGCGCTAAGCTAGTACCACAGCTTGCCATTCTGTTCTGGAACTGGGAGCGCGTAGCGTAAATGGTTATCGCAGTTGCGCGTCGGCATACTAGTAGTACTAGTACTAGTATCGGTCGTCCGTTTGACGTTGTGCGACGTTTTATTACTCGCATGGACGAGCAGCCACAGTCCAAGGCACTTCAGCCTGACTCAGAGGTTCCGGACGACGGCGGCCTTAGTAGTACTATCAATAGCAATAACAAGAGGCTCGGAGCAAAGGTCGTTCACGCGCATGACTGGAGTCTTGAGGCACTTAAAGCTGGCCCCGGAAGGGTGGGGCGCGGTCGAAGGAAGCTCGATTCCGCGTCGTCGTCGTCTCCCGGCGCCAGTGGCGGCGGTACCCGGGACGAGCCCCACGCGACGGACGCAACCGCCGCGTCGCCGACGCCGCCGCCGCCGCCGCCGCCGCCCTATGATAAGGAATCTTCTCCCGCCACCGACGTGACGAGGCTCCAGCGACCGCCACGGCAGCAGCCAGTGCCACATCAGCTGGCAGCTGGCAGTGCTGGCTCAGCCGCAGCCACAGCGGTGAGAGTCGTCATGGCGGCGGCGGCGGCGGCGGTACAACAAAAACCCGATTCTAACGCGATCTTGTATCGAAACAACGTCGCTCAGGCTGTAACGGCGTCTATGTCATTGTTACCAGAAGTGCGGCGCGAGGTAGGCGGCGGCGGCAGCGGAATCGGCGGGGCCGTTGCCACAAACGCAGCGAACTCAACATCAGTCCGGGATCTGGACAACGGCGCCGACGCCGGCTTCGCATTTAATTCTTCTGCTCCAGCGCCGCCGGTTGCTGCCACTCTTGGCGCTGGCGCTGCTGCTGCTGCTGCTGCTGCTGCTGCTGCTGCCACTACCACTAACACTTATTCTAACAGTTGCACCGTCAGTGGAACTTCCAGCACGGGAGCTCCGGATTCGAGTCTCAACCCAGTCGGTGTTGCTGCTCTTGGCGCGGCCGGTGATATCAGCGGCCCTCAACCTGGCGGCGGCGGGGGGAGTGGAGGACGGGGGGTTGTGACGTGTCGCGTGGACGAGTGCGGAGAGGATCTGTCAAGTGCTCGCTCGTACAACCGGCGGCACCGGGTGTGTGGCGTGCACACACGCGCTGCTGTGGTCACAGTGGAGGGCAACCGACAACGGTTCTGCCAACAATGCAGCAGGTGAGGGCTTGGAGGTCTATAAGATCTGCTGCTGCTGCTACTGCTGCTGCTGCTGCTACTGCTGCTGCTGCTGCTGCTGCTGCCCCCGCCGCGGCCGCTGCTGCCGCGGCCGCTGCTGCCGCGGCCGCCGCTGCTACCACTTCCCACTCACACCAGCCCCCTTGTGCTGCCGTCTCCCCTCTCCCTTGTTCTCCAGATTTCAGGACATGGACGATTTTGAGCCGGGCAGGCGCAGCTGCAGGCAGAGTCTCCAGTACCACAACAAGCGGCGGCGCAAGGGGGACCTCAAAACCCTCTGCACACCACAGCTGGGCACCGGCGGTTCAGCAGAGGAGGGCCGCGACAAGAGGGGCCCGGACTCAGGAAGAACGGCGAGCATGGGAGGCGGTGGAGGGTGGAGAGGAGAGGATCAGCGGCATGGGGGCACAGGTGAGGTGGAGAGAATCTGAGTGAATCTGAGTGTATGCGCGCTGTGTGTTCAAACTTTTCATTTGCGTGCATCCCATGTCTGTGGAGGTAAGGGTGCAAGCACGTGTGAGTGTGTGCTGCACTGTCTCTCATCGTAGTGCTTGTCCCCGTGTGTGTGCACGCGTGTGTGGCTCTGCAGGATCATCCAGTGATAACTCCGGAGACCCACGTGCGGCAGGCTACAGCCTTGCTGGTCAACCTGGTCAACTTGGTCAAACTGGTCAACCTGGTCAAGCAGTCGGGAACCGCCGCGTGGAGGAAGACCAGCAGCAGCGCAACAGCGACTCGATGCAAGTTGCTCTCGCCAGTGCTGACCTGGTGCTGAGTCAGGTTCAGAACCGGGCCGTAATAACAACGTCAACCGCAACAGCAACAGCAGCAGCAGCAGCACCTATTGCGAGGCATCAAGAGCGTCTTAGCCCCCAGCCCCAGAACCAGGGCTCGTCCCTGCAGTTCCCTCGTCAGCCATTCCAGCACCAGCGCAGCATGAGCAGTGGCAGCACAGGGTATGGCAGCAGCCCGTCTTTCGATCAAGCTGAGCGACAAAGAATGACACCGGGCGCTCATTTGGATGCCCACCAGCCACTTCAGCCCCTTCAGCCTCTTCAGCCACTTCAGGGGCAGTCAACGCTTCCGCTCCACCAGCAGCATCAGAACCGTCCACGGCTGAGCCCGCCGCTGCCGCCTCGCATGCAGCAAGCCAGTCAGGCCGGGCGGATGATTCAGGTGCTTGCCCCACCACCACAGCAGCAGCACACGGTTCTTTCTGTGACCCATGGATGGGGAGACGTGCAGGTGCAGCGGCACATGCCCGTCTCGGCGACAGCGGGCGCAGCGAGAATGCTAGCAACAGCAAGAGCGGCGGCCAACTCAGGAGCAGCGGGGGACGGGGTATCGTCATCGTCTGGCGTTTCTGCCTTCCGATCATCTGCAACGCCTCCTGCAAACACGTCTCCCCCGAACCTTTCCATGCCTTGGGCCTCTGCCGCTGCAGCCACTGCTCTCGCTGCTCCCGCTGACACCAGTGAGGTGGCTGCAGCCTCTGCAGCTGCTGCGTCTGCTGCCGCTGCTCCTCTTTCGCCGTTTTCCCGGCCTCTTGCTTTTTGCAGCTCTGTCGGGTTTGCTTCCGAGACAGACAGAGGGCTGGAGACATCCAGCTTACCATTTGAAAGCCACACCTCCCTTCAATCGCCCGCGCAACTTCACCATCTTCCCCCTCTTCCTTCCCTCCAAAATCCTCCTCACCTTCCTCCTTTTACTCCACCTCCTCCTGTCCCTAATCTTGCTCCTGCTCCTGCTCCTTTCTCTCCTCTTCCCCTTCCTCCTTCCTCACAAGACCAGATCCTCCTCCCAATCCCATTCGCACTCCCATCCTCTCCATCTCTCCTCCCCTCTTCCTTCTCGCCCCACCTTCTTCCTTTTCCTCACAGCAGCCCGCTTTCCGGCCAGTATTCCAATCAACAGCACTCAGCACGCCTCGCCGCGAACCCACAAGCCACCGCCGCCTTCCTCCCTGCCGCACTCCAAGCAGCACAGAACTCAACAGTGCCTGCAGAAACACTGTTCAGCCATGGCCGCACAGTAACAAGTCCGGATACGGCCCCTCAATCCTTTGATCCTGCTGCTCCTGTCACTGCCACCACGGCTGCTGCTGCTGCCGCCGCCGCTGCTGCTGCTTCTGCTGCTGCTGCTGATGCTGCTGCTTCAGGAGCTGCTGGCAGCACTGCGGCTGCTGAAGCACCATGCGCAATGCCGCACAGCACCCCTCCGTTCACTCCCCAGCCCTTTTCCATTCCGCTGCTGCAGCCACAGGCGCAGTGGCATGTGAATGGGCGTCAACCAAGGCAGACAGTCGAAGAGCGTGAGGTGGATCTCGGGTTTGGGAAGCTTGGCTTTGGAGACGCGCGAGCCGAGGTGACTTTTGAGTTGACTCAGAAGCTTGGCTTTGGGGACGCGCGAGCCGAGGGAGGAATGGGCGGTGGGAGATGGGGAATCGGGAGAGAGGGCGAGGGATTGGAGGGGCATGGGGAGGGAATGGATGTTGGTGGATGGAGAGCATCAGAGGCTCATGAGTCTCACGCTGTTGGATGTGACATGAGTGCACTCACTGCTGCTGCTGATGCTGGTGCTGGTGGTAACGGTGGTGCTGGTGGGCATGGTGGGAATGGTGGGGCTGGCACAGCAGCAGCAGCAGCAGCAGCAGGTGGGATGCAAGGAGGGATAGGAGTAGGACAGAACGTCAGAGGCTGGGAGGGAGGAAGCCACGGGCAGGGTGGAGCAGAGGAAGGCGAGGGGGGGTTGACAGGGGAGCTGAGGGAGCTCGATTCCTTGGACTTTGCTCCGTGGCCTGGCGGTTATGGCGGCTTTGGTGGGGCTGATCTTGGCGACAGCTAGTGGATGCTGGCGGGACCAAGGCCCTGGGCTTGCCACTGTGGGAAAGTGGTGGATGCATTGCGTGGTGGTTGGTTGGGCCGGGTAGGCTTGGCTGCCTGCAGGGGGGTTTTTACCGCCGGCTGCTCAAAATGTGCGTGCGTGTCTGGGGTGTTTTAGACTCTGGTTCTGGCAGCTGTTGCTGAGCTTGGAAGCTGATGAAGATGCTACGTTAGCTTGATGCGAACGACCAGTAGCGCCGCTGGTGAAGACGCTGCTGCTTACGGTCTGATTTGATGATGAAGCAACCTGTTGACTCCCTCCCTCCCTCCAGCTTATGCCTCCAGCTGATCCCCTCCACTGCCTTATGCCACCTGGACTTCCGAATCTGAATTCTCTGGCCACCATTCTGGCCTCTCTGCACTGCTCTCACCCCTACCGTTGCTTATCCACCTAAGTTCACCAGCCTTCCAGACTCACTGCTTGGCTTGTGCCCTGACTGATCCATGCCAAAATGTACGGTACCTCAGATAGTAATCTCTTGTATCATATCGATCATATCCTCCACAACGTCATCTTCTCCTCACACCTGGCCAGAGGGAATTGACTGTGTGATGATCCGAATATTATGCCAGTATCTGCTGCTATGCCTCAGATCACATGCCTGGGTGTGGTGAGGTGTCTCTGTCACATCTGGAATGGAGCGTCATGTACCGTATAACTTCCAGCATCATGTGTGTGTGTAAAGGTTGGCTATTCCATGTTCACGAACATTTGAATTTGCATGAGCGAAATAGCACCAATTGCCAGACTGTTGGACATTAAACTCTTAGTGATGTGTGTCATATGGGGTACAATAGTTAGGGTTAGGTTCACGTACCCCAACCAACCTTAGTCAACACATTCTTCTGTTCTTGACACAGACCTGGTAACCCCTCGTTGTTGGTCCTAAAGCCGTTTCAGCAATAATGTGGAGAATTTGAAGTACAATAGTTCATCAATACTAGAACACGTGTGCATCAGTGCGGTAGGGAGTAAGAAAAAGGAGGACAAGAGACAATGACAATGCACCATGGTGTGACAACCATGCGTCTACGTGCATTGGAGGATGGGTTAAGGAATGGAGTAGGGACAAGGGGGATGGACACAATGGGTAGAGCAGAGTGAGCAACGAAGTTTGGGAGACTTTGAGCAATTTAAGAGCGAGGGCAGAGCAGAGCAACGGAGAGGCAGGCACAACAAACGTAGGACGGGTCACGGGAACTTGACAGAGCAGGGGCCGCAAAAACGCCTGGACTGGAGACCACTAATATGCAATGCAACCCAGGAGCAGAGCAGCAGCAGTGGCACCAGCGACATCAGTACACGTAGGGCAGCATCCTGTAGGGCACGCGCTGACAGTACTGCTTGTACTCGGGGAAGGCCTTGAGTAGCATGGTCTCCTCTAGGGTGATGCGCGCCCGGTAGTAGAGGAGAGATGCAATGAAGAGGAAGAGCATTGCCTTGTAGCTGCGCGGGAGAGGGAGGAGGGAGGGGAGAGGGAGGAAAGGGGAGGAGAAGGGATGGTGGATTGTGGTGAAACGACGGCGGATGGGGAGGAGAGGGAAGCAGGTGGTAGAGCAGCGAGGTGGTGACGAGGAAGGGCGTTGCTTTGTAGGAGTGAGGAAGGAGGGCGGAGGGCGGAGGGATGGGAGAGGATGGGGTGGTGGATTGTGGCGGGGAAGGAGTTGTGGTAGGATGATGGTAAATGGGGAGGGAAGCAGGTTGTTGAGCAGAGGGGTAGTAAAGAGGAAGAGCATTGCCTAGTAGCTACGAGGGAGAGTGGGTGGAGAGGGGCCTATTGAGAAATGACAGGGAAGAGTGGAAGTGGTGGATGAGGTGGGGAAGGAGGGAGAGAGGAGAGAGGAGGGGGATGGGATAGGAAGGAGATCGTGAGAGAGAGAGGAGGGAGGGAGGGAGGGAGGGTGTGCGGTGAAGGAGAGAGTTGAGAGGGAAAAGGATGGGAGGGCATAAAGGACAGGAGTGCTTGTGAGGTTGGGATCACGAGAGGGAACATATCTGCATGGCCCAAGCGCCCAACAAGGGCCAAGATATGCTCTCTTTTCAGGCCAACAATCGTCACCGTCGCCGACTATGTTGAAAAAGACGCGTCCAGAGTCTTGGATGCTAGTGTCCTCGACGCTAGTGTCCTGGACGCTGGACGCTTACTGGTCTGTGATTAGGATGCTAAGAAAAACTCTGGGCCGGGCAGGGTGAAAGAACTATCGGGCAGGTAAAAAAACCGTTTAAGATCGGGGGAAAGGGGGTTTCGGGACATTGCAACCACATTGAACATGGGTTATCCGTAAAATCTTAAATCAACACCAAAATTCCACTAAAGTTGCGACAGACATTTAGCGCCAAAACGTAGCATTTTGACGCTTGGCTGGAGCTGCTATGTCCCAGCGTCAAATCCATCACAGCTGGCAGTTGGCTGCCAGCTGGCTACCAGCTGGCTATCCCTTCTTTCCTATCCCTACACTGCACCTCCGCCCGCCCGGCTCACTCTGCAACAGCTGTTTGCGAGGAGGAGTGGGCCCACCGTTATTCACGCCTCACACGTGCAACAACCAAAGGCGCATGACTTGGACTGCATACCATACCATGCATGCATTGCATGGTCCATATGGGGGAGACTGCAACCTTCTGCCCTGATCAAATCAATGGCTGGAGCTGCTATGTCCCAGCGTCAAATCCATCACAGCTGGCAGTTGGCTGCCAGCTGGCTACCAGCTGGCTATCCCTTCTTTCCTATCCCTACACTGCACCTCCGCCCGCCCGGCTCACTCTGCAACAGCTGTTTGCGAGGAGGAGTGGGCCCACCGTTATTCACGCCTCACACGTGCAACAACCAAAGGCGCATGACTTGGACTGCATACCATACCATGCATGCATTGCATGGTCCATATGGGGGAGACTGCAACCTTCTGCCCTAATCAAATCAATGGCCAAACAGCAGACCTCTGAATCCGTCTAAAAGCTATGGCGCCAGCCAGCATCATTGATTCCACCCTCCAGCACCCAGAAAGAATCCACATGCGACCAAGAAAAGGGGGGGATGGTTGCTGGGGACGCGGAAGCCGTGACATGACATGGCACTACTGCAACCGGCAAGAAAAAGGAGAGAGAAGAAGAGGGAGGGGACGAGCAAGGGCGTGACTGAGAGGGCAGCTGCTGCTGACCTGTGCAGGGAGAGGCAGAAGGCGCAGAAGAGCAGCACGTAGGACGCATAGAGCGGGTGGCGCAGCGAGCGGTAGGGCCCCACCGTGACGACGGCCTTGGGCACGACGAGGCGGTCAAAGTACTTGCCCAGGAAGAAGGCCGCATCCCAGTGCAGCCACAGGGCAAACACCAGCAGCACCGGCGCCACACGCGATGCCCACGGGTCGAGCGCCGCTGCGAACGGGGCAGCGGCTCCGGCTGTTGATGCGCCTGATGCGGCGGCAGAGGCTGTGGCTGCCGTGGCGGCGGCGGTGGAGGCGGCGAGGATGGCTGCACGGGATGCGGACTCGAAGGCTGCGTACCAATGGCCGCCCACCACTGACAGCACAAAGAGCACCTGGAGATGGGGTTGTGGGGGGGGCCGAGGGGTGGACAGAGGGGAATGGGTATGGGGGAAAGGAGATAGGGGAAAGGGAGATAGGAAAACTCTTTTGAGGTGCCTCAAAAGGCTGCGTATCAATGGCCGCCCACCACTGACAGCACGAAGAGCACCTGGAGATGGAGGGGTTGTGGCGTGGGGTGAGGGGAGGACAGAGGGAAAGGGGGAACGATGCGGATGGGGATGGGAATGGGGATGGGGATGGGGATGGGGATGGGGATGGGGATGGGGATGGGGATGGGGATGGGGATGGGGATGCGGATGCGGATGGGGATGGGGAAGCAGGAGAGTACGAGCACGGTGCAGGAGGATAGGAACGGGCATCACGCATGGTTGATGGAAGGAGGAGGAGAAAGGCATTCGGGGCCGGAAAGATGCACCGGAAAAAGGCGCTTGAAACGACGCTTGCAAGGGCACTAAGATGGGCAAAGAAAGTGACCCACCTGGGCTGTGCGGCTGGTGGCGGTGGCCTGCTGCTGGTCCTTGCTGGGTGGTGCGAGGTCCCCGTAGAGCTGCAGGCGCACAATGGCTGATGCGCTGAAGAACACCGCGTACAGCACACATAGACTCACCCGCCACCCGTCCAGATAGCCCTGCGGGACGAGGAGAGAGGGAGAGAGGGCGAGAGAGGGAGAGAGGGAGGGCGGGGAGGGTGGGAGAGAGGGATCGAGAGGGAGAGGGGGAAGGGGGGGGGGGGGGGGGGGGGGAAAGAGCGGTGGGTGAGTGAGAGGGAAAGGAGAGGTGGGGGAAGGTGGACCGGAGGAGACAGAACAAGAGAGCAAGAGAGTGGGAGATCAGCTGGGTGGGTGAAGAGGCAACTTCTGCACCCGCGCCTTCCCCACAGTGTGAGCCTCTCCCTCCTGCACTGCACTGCACTGCACTCGACGCATCACAATCCTCGCCACCTAAACCACAAACCTAGAGGAGCACTCCTAACTCGACTCCTAGAAGCAAGTCTCACACGCTGCCTTTCCGGGGTAGCAATTACGAAAGCACATGCATGGCTTGAACCACTTCCTATCTGCCCATCCGTCCGCCCATCTATGCGCACCTCCTGCCTCCCATGGATTTCCCCTCCCCCTCTCCCCCATCCCGCCTCCCGCCCTCCCTCCCCCCCTTTTTTTTCCTGCTGCTTCCCCCTCCCCCTCCCTCCCCCATTCCCCCCTCCCCCCCGAGCCCGCCATTCTCACCTGAAACGCTCCGCAGGGAACCAAAATGAGCCACGTAAGCGCGCCGAGCAGCACGCCCACCTGCTTCCACAGCGGCTGCTTCTTCCCGCCTCCAGCTGCCGCCGTCGCCACCGTCCACGCCGCAATCAGCGCCGCCGCGGGCCACGGCCACACCACGAGCAGCCAGCTCGCGCGCAGCAGCACCTCTGGGTGCAGGACCGCGCCGACCACGGCGCCAAACACGGCGCGGCCCGCGGTGACCGCGATTACCGCGGCAACGGCGAGCTTAAGGAGAGAGTATGGCGTGAGGCGGGGCAAAGGGGGAGCGGCAGGCGGAGGTGGAGGGGTTAGGGGAGAATCGAGGGGGATAGCGCCTGCTGCGGCGGCCGCCGATTGCGCCGCAGCAGCGAGATCCGCGGCAGGCCCAGAGGATCCAGTTTGCGAGTCCCCTTGATATCCGCCGCCTAATGCGGCTCTGACCGCCGTCCAATTGCGACACTCTGGATTCGGCCAGCGACGTCGTCCGCTACTTCTCGCCGCGTCGCACAAATGACTCGTCGTCACTGTCGCATGAGCTCGAATTGATCGAAGGGTGGAATAGGGTTGTGTGGAGGTTTTACGGGTTCTGCTACAGAAGCTGCTGCTGCTGCTACTGCTGGCTATAGCGACGAAAGCCGCTGCTGGGGAGCCGGCGGACACGTGGCGCGCTGCTGCTGCGGCTGCTGGTCTCATCGTTGCATTGCTCGGCGCGCAGCCGTACACCGGGGACGCTGCTTGCAGACTCGCCGCCGCCGCTGCCATCTCGCCGGGGGGCGCCGCGCAATGCGGGGACACGGAGTGAGTGGTTACTTGGAAAGCCGTACTAAAAGAAAATGGCGAAATTTCTACGCTTCGGATGAGCAGCTTCCGCGGAGCTTAAACTAGCGCCCCCTCCCCCGGGTTAACTAGGTTGACCGCGAAGGGTTTATTTGAGATAGGCGCGGTCGAATCAGCGGTTTGCGACGCGATCAACGGACGGTCATGAGTAGGAAACTAGCGGACATGGACTGGAACGATATTGCGACGTGTCAGCGAAACCATCGGTTTGTAACCAGCGGCTGTTACAAGAGGTGCTTGGCGTTGCGCACACGAAAAATTGGGGCGACCAAAAGTTAAGGCACAAAAACGATCCCGACTGCTGTGGACCCGCCGCGAAATGCGGCTGTGCTCTCGAGAATCTGCCCAGGGTGAGTGGGAGAATACCTTGGGATTGCTACTAGCAGTAGAAATTGCGTAGTGAAGCACTGTTAATGACCGGAGTAACCGAAGTTTAGAAACGGTTTGGTAGGAAATTCGCTGGATGATCAATAAACATACAAATCACCTCAATTATATAAAAATGCCCTCAGACTTTAAAAAAAAATGATAATTGAAAGTACACACCGAATGGGCAAGCATATACCACCGAGAATATCTCAGCGCGTTCAGGTCGTCACCCGGCGGAGCTCGCTGCCCGCGGGCAAAAAAAAATAAACCCCAGTCGGACATGCATCCGGTCAGGGAGGAATCAACCCTGAACACGGGGAGGCATGGATTTAGGGTTGATGCTTCCCTCGAATGGCATGCCATTCGATAGGGTTTTAGTTGTTTCTGCCCGGGGCAGCAGGTCGTCAGGTCGTCACAGGTCGTCGGGCCTGACGACCCATTTCCGCAGAGATCTTTCTGACCAGAACGGTCGTAACCGTGCGTGAGGAACTAGAGGGGACCTCTTGCTCAAGATGAGATTCCTAGGGCCGAATGTTCCTGACCCTCCGCGCCGACCAAATTGCTGCAAAGTTGTTTCTCCACTTCAGGCTTTTGCCATCCATTTTGATTCTCCCAAGCGTGTTCCATTCCTCCAATGAATCCCGCTACCTCTGCTTGCGCCACGTCACCCCAAATTTGTGGATGTACAATTTCACGTGCTGCCGAAAAGTCACTTCAATCCTTCTCAGGACCCGTTGCGTCCGGGATTTCTGCCCCCTGAAGACAGCTTCACACCGCTCGAGCCACAACTGGTGCAGTGCAATTGATATTCCTACGGCCTCCTATCAAGCCATCTCCTATCAAGATTGTACATTTTGCCTGTGAAAAGTAGCGAGAGGTTTTGGGTTTAGGGGATTTTTCAGTGTGAGCTTGATAGGAGGTCAGATTGATAGGAGGATAGGAATACACGCTTATCGTCAGCTCCGGAAAAGCTGAGCTGGTTCCAGTCCCCTAGAACAGGAGATCACCCAACGAGTCCGTCGCGTGGCCAGGATTCAGCATGCCCAGAGCGCGTCGAAGAGCTGCAGAAACCACTTGGATCCTGGGGCAGAGAACCAAACAGTGCTCCAGTGTCTCAGTTTCCTCGTAGTACGGACACACCGGCTTGCTGCTGAGGAAAGCCAGTCGCTCCCCTATTTGCAAATTCAGACCGTGGATCCGGGTGAGCACATCGCGTGGACGGCTGGGAACCGCCAAAGAGTCCCGTGTATTCACAACCCTTTTCCAGTTGTTGTCCCCTCCCCATCGTGCCGCCCATTTTGCGCGCTTGTACGACTCCTTCCGGGCCTCCACCCATCCCTCCTTCATCCGCTTCATGGGGATTGTTATGATATGAAATTACATGAGAAGGCATTCCTGTAAGCTGAAGGAGCCGACTCTACCGAGTACAAAGTCGAGGAGTCAGAAGAGTCGAAGCGACGCAGCAACCGTCTGACCAAAGACATGCAGGCAGAAACAACTGAAATGAAAAGAGCGGGAACAGGTTTTGAACGGGTTCCCGCGCCGCACGATTTGAACTTGCTGTAGTAAGGGAATGTACCCTTTAGAGTACATGGCTAGCCTATGTCTTTTCGTATTCCTTTGTATTCTTCTATAAACCCGATATATGCACGTTTTTATCAACTCAGTCATTTACATTCACTCTGACCTGTGATTCAATCTTCCGCTGCAAAACTACTCTTCGATCAACCCTGAGCGATCCTTCGCTAAGTCCCATTTGGGATTGTAACATGGTATGAGAGCTACTCAGGGATTCTTCGCATCTTCACTTCCGTGAAATTCGCTGAACCAAGATATGGCGAGCGGTACACGCTCCGAGACCAAGATGGCCGAAGGATCCGGAGGCCAAGCAAATCTGACGGCTGAAGGACAAACCAACCCGGCTGCGACAAATGAGGCGACAACTACGATCGGCACTGCCGCACTCGAGCAACTATTCGCTCGACTTTCTACTATGGAGAAAGAACTAAAAGAACTGCGCAAAGGCGACGCGGGAACCTCTTCCCAGCCAGTTCAACCTGGACAACCGGCCACGAAAAGCTGTGATACCGCCGCGCACACCTTCTCCCCCGACACAGACAAATCAACAATAACTGCCCCCCATCCAAGTGATGAAGTCATCAACTCTGCGCAAGCACACTTCCTCAATGATTCAAAAAACAAGAATACTGCCGCATTTGACGGCAAAGATTTCTACACATGGAGTTTCGAGCTTGTGCTCCTCCTACAAACAGCGCAAATCTACTATTACTTCGACAGCTCCTATCCTAAACAGGTGGACGACACCGACGACGCCGGGGCTCAGTACTAGAGCGAGTCCCTCATGGCATATATGTCAGAATGCTAGGCAGGAATGGATCAACTAGGAAAATGTTGGGTACAAAGAGGAAACCCTAGAAGGGGCTATACCCCATATTGGCTGTCAGAATGTTACTGTTCTCTAGCCTGCAGTGGGGTACTCTATAGTGAGTACAAACCCTTAGGGTTTCCTATATGTATCCTGCTGCTTTCTAGTGAAACCCTCTCTTTTTGCCTAAACTATTCTTGCCTAGCTAGGTCTTTCCTAGCTATGGCGCCTTTACTCTATCATTCTCGTTCGTTTTCACATGGTTATCAGAGCAGTAAGCTCCTGGCCTGTGGGCCCCACCACACTCCTTCCGTCGTGCGCCCCGAGGCGCGCGGCGGTTTTCTGCCCGCCGTGCGCCCCGAGGCGCGCGGCGGTTCTCTTCACGCCGTGCGCCCCGAGGCGCGCGGCGGGTTTCTGCCCCGTCACGCCGTGCGCCGCTCCCGGGAGGCGCTGCGACGGGCGACGGGGACCTCCGCGTCGCCCCCCGTCGCCTGTCGTGGCCTGCGCGCGGCCCGTACAGCCTGCGCGCGGCACGTACGGGCCGCGCCAGACCCGTCCGCGGCCGGTATGGGCTGCGCCAGACCCGTCCGCGGCCGGTACGGGCTGCGCCAGGCCCGCGCGCGGCCCGTACGGGCTGCGCCAGGCCCGCGCGCGACTCGAGCCGCCTGCGCGCGGGTCGGGCGCCTGTACCAGGCCTGTTGGCGGCCCTTTCTTCACTGCCCCTGCCCTACCTGCTGTTCCCCGTGCCTCTTCTTGGGCCCCACCCCTTCTTCTGCCCATTCCTTTGGATTAGGGTTTGGGGGTGAGGGGTATGGGGTTGCAACTCCTGTGTGCCGTTCTCTGCTCCTCCTCCTCCTCCGTCTCCCAGTGCTGCAGCTGCCGCTGAGGGGGGGTGGACCTGTTGGAGCCGTCGGAGTGGTACTAAGGGGGGGTGAAGGGGGAGTGGAGCTAGGGGTGAAGCAGCGGGTGTGTGTCAAGGGGGGTGGGATTGTTTGGGGAGGTTGATCGGAGGTTGCCGTAGTGTCGCCAGCAGCACCTGTAGTCCGGGGAGTTGCTCCGGTAGCCCAGTCGTAGCCACCTGTGCCAGTCCCCCGTGGGTCCGTTGCTCGTTTGCCGCTACTTTTAGCCGCGGGGCCAGTTACTCTAGTAGTCCGGAGCGCTGTTCCGGTAGCCGCTGTGCCAGTCTGCCTCCTGTTGCCCATGTGTCTGCAGCTTCAGTCGTCGCCTCCTATCTCCTCTCCTCTTACAGTCTCGCCTCCTCCTCCTCACTTGTCCTCTGCGATAGCCTCTAGCTTTGCTCATAATTGTGAACTTTAAACCATTGCTTCTTTTCTTTGTGCTCAGAATGTGTGGTGACATTGTGATCCACCCTGAGCTTGTTCTGCTTTGCTTGCTCTGCTGATTACACCCCACTTTGGCTATGGGGGTGTGTCAGAATGTTACTGTTCTCTAGCCTGCAGTGGGGTACTCTATAGTGAGTACAACCCCTTAGGGTTTCTTATATGTATCCTGCTGCTTTCTAGTGAAACCCTCTCTTTTTGCCTAAACTATTCTTGCCTAGCTAGGTCTTTCCTAGCTATGGCGCCTTTACTCTATCATTCTCGTTCGTTTTCACATTGGCTACCCCACTACAGCCTAAAAATATATAGCATATATATAATTTGACACACCCCCATAGGCAAAGTGGGGGAGAGCAAGGGGTCACAAGACCAGTAAAGAGAAGGAAAGCAAGCTTAGGGTGGATCATAGCGTCACCACACACACTGAGCACAAGCAGAGGGCCACAAGGCCAGTTCACATGCAGAGGTATATATGCAACAATAGCAACACAGTGATAACTACCTAGCAAGGGCAAGCATGCAAGTATGTATATATATAGATCACTGTACAAGCAAAGACTACAGCAAGTGAAGAAACGTGGGCACAAGGCCTAGCAAAGTACAGAAGCGCTGATGATCACCAGGTGGAAGTGCCTTGGTGAATATACCAGCAGTGTTGGCCCGAGTGGCCACGTGAGCAAGACGAAGCTGACCACGCTGCTGCAACTCTCGAGCAAGGAAGTAACGCAGATCGTTGTGCTTCATTCTGTGCTCAAGTCTGTGCTCCTGACATAAGGCAATGGCGGCCTTGTTGTCTACGTACAGAACTAGAGGAGAATGAGGCCGCTCTC